AAAGTTTAACATATTTGAAGCGATTCTTCTTAGTAAAATAAACAAATGAAATAATTAAATCATTGAATTACTATAGGAATTAAATTATCAAGGTAGAAATCAACTAAAAAGGTTAAAAATACGTAATGACCAGGAAGCGAAACTGCTTCACAATATCGCTGATGATGTTTAGTGAGTGGGTTTTTAATTTTAATTAGTATTTAAAGTAGAAAAAAGTATAACGAGTTTTTTTAGAATGGCAACTTAAGCGAAAATAATTAGAGTTAGTAAACCAATATCTAGAAACTCTTCTTTATATCTAATTATTTGCTATTATATATTTGTGTTCTGTCGTGACCTAAGGCGCGATGCTTGTTCATCCGCGAGTTACTTTGTATTTCTAAAACATTTTAACAATTTCTAAAACATTTTAACAGAATACTCTAGAACTTTATTTCGCTTAATCAGCGTATTTTTTGAACCAGTAGAATTAGTTTGTTTGTTAATTTGGCGGTTTTTTAGTGTTCGCAAATATTCTTTTTATTCTTTCGCACGAAGATAGTTTGAGAACATTCTAGTTTATTATGTTTCCATGTATGTCCGTAAAACAAAAATTCTGTGTTTCGTACATAAACTTAAATGTTCTCAAAACGACTAAAAAACTTGGCCAGTTTTACGCAACTAAATATAATTTCCGTGGTCAGTATTCGAGAGCGATCGCTCCCGCTTCCCGACCAAGCCTGATATATATATATATATATATAAATATATATATATATATATATATATATATATATATATATAAGCTAAAAAAAAAATACTTGTTTTATCATTCTAGCTGTTGTGTGTTCTTCTGAAAGATACTGTAGTAAATTTTCTATTTCCTTACACTCTTCCTCTGTAACTTCTTTAACTAAAACCAGTTTATATTTTAAACAAGAATTTTTGTAGTTCAAATATTAGACAATGTTCAAAAACATAAAAATAACACATACATTTTTTAAAAGAAAAAATTGGACTTGCTGTCAAACCAATTTGCATAGGATTGCCAGCTAAGAATGCTACCGACTCAATCTGAAAACTAGGTTCTTCAAGAAGTTTCTGAACTGCAAGTTTTTTCCTATAAAACATTACAATATACATCAAAGAAAGTAAAAGAAGATATAAGAAAAAATAAATTCATTATGTTCAACTCATTAACAAGAAATGATTTGAATATTTTTACATTTTTTATTTTTAAAAAGGATATGAAAACATATTATGCTAAGAAGTGTTTTATTAGCCCGGTTAAATAACTTTTTCTTACTAAAGTATAATGCAAAAAAGAATTAAATAAAAAGTTAGATAAAAACTGATTATCTGCTCTTTATTTTTTGAGGGAGGGAATGGTCGGTTGTTTAGTGGTGGGAGTGAGGTGGGGAGGGGGCGGAGAAAAGATAGGGGGGCCGGGGAAAGTAAAGGAGAAGGAGCAGGCGTATTTTATGATTAGTTTACGGACATAAGAGTATTTTTGATTAATCTAATAAAATAAATAATAGGTAAAACAGAAACACACCTATCTTCACTAGATCTTTGCAAGAGAGTCACCAGAACTCCTGCCACAGCCGCCAAAACTGCATATCTATCTTGACGCTCTATATCTTTAATAGAAGAAAATTTTTAATAAAAGTTTAAAAATAAATGAAAAATCAAATATTTAAAAAAAATAGTTTAAACTATTAACCTGATCAATTAATTGTTTCACTATACTTAAAAATGTAAATACATTCTAAATATATACTAAAATATTCTAAATGTATTATAAAATATTTTAATTATATTTTAAATATTCTAAAAATATAGAGCTGAGATTTATAATAGATTATTTATTACCTGTGGCATGAAGTCTTGACAGAGTAGAAAATAATTTGTAGCTTGCTGTTACACGATTAAGAATTTGAAGAACAGCCTATTTATGAAAAAATAAAAAAATAAAAAATTAATAATAATAAAGAAAACCTTTTAAAAGAATTTTTTATCTTGAAAATGGCTTTAAAACCTATTTATAAATAAAAGTTTACAAATTATTATAAGTTTTTTTTTCTTCCAGCAGTTGTATTTTAACAAAACTTAACCTGAAACAACCGAGTTAAAGTTAGTTCTGCAGACGATCTTTGCCAATCAGTAAACACCTCTGGTACTGCAGTTGAAACCATTTCTAAAACCTGATGGCAAAAAAATTTTTATATAAAAAAACAACAAAAAAACAACAAACAAACACCGGTAACAAAAAAATAAAGAAAAAAAATGAAACAATAAAAGTTTCGAAGATTAAAGTTAAAAAAATAAATAAAACATATACTAATAATAAATATATAAAAACATATACTAATTGCAAAACATATAATAATTGAAAACAAATAAAAAATAAAAATGAAACTTTTAAATTGCAACATTTGTTATGAATATGAATAAAGTATTTTTCTTGCCCTCTTTTGGTTGATCCTATAAGTTAAACTAATCCAACCTAACAAGGAATCTTTACCTTATTCTTTAAGTTACCAACAAAGTAAGGGTTCCATACTTGTATAGCAAACTCAAGAAGCTGTCTGATATATTTTGTATAAAAATCTTTTTCGAATGGTACAAAGGTATGTTTAAAAGTTTTCAGCAGGTTTTTTGTTTTGTTTACAGCTAAGTTTGAGATTCTCAGAGATTTAAATTACAAGATTCATTTATGTAAAGATGTTCAATTAAGTAAAGTAAGAAAATTTAGATCAACAAATTTTTATTTTATTCTTTATTTTGCATAATTAAATAAAAAATTATACTATGGATGTAACTCTTTATTTTTGAAATTAATTATTTTTTCTCTCAATATTTAAAGAGAATATTGAGAATACCCTCATTATCAAGTATAAGTAAAAAAAAACTGTTAAAAACAAAACAAAAACAAAAAACAAATCAATGCAATAGTTTCTTTTGATTCAAATATCAAAACATATATTTTCAAAAGGAAGCTGTGATGTAATCTCCATCATCCTGATTCAGACGACCATCTGAAGGTGCACATTTGAAGCAATGTATTTCAAGTGTCTCCCTCACTTTTCTGTTATAATTATTATCTTCTGCTTATATAGTATTTTTATTGTTCCATGCAAAACTACCATGACAACTTTTTGAATTTTCCGCTATTGCTGAATAATCCCATTTTCCTTTGTATGTATTTTTCTGATGTTGGTAAATGCGAGATTTCATCAATATAAAATTTTTTGCAAGAGCATTTAAGTTTGTGCACACCTGGGTAAGAATTTATAGAAAAAGAGGGTTTATTTTTTGTGGTAAGTATATGTTGTATGTAAATTTTTTGGTGATTTCAAGAATGGTGTGTAACCTGCTTTTTTGAAAACTTTTCTTAACTTTGGACTAATTCCTAGAGTCCACGGTAAAGATACAATACTTTTTTTCATGGATAAATGTTGAGTTTCAATATTTTGTTATTTATAATATAAATTTTATTTAGTGGTTTTTATAATATTTTCCAGGCTTGTATTTTTAAAACCATTTGCTTTTAGCAAATTAAAAAAGATATCTTGTGACACAAGACTTTTTAATAACCATGTTGACATTTGGATTTGCTATCAACCAAATAATTCATTGTCACTAAGCTTACTTTTTTTTTTACCAATTGTGCGCATTTTTATTATTTTTGTTAACTGAGGTATAAAAATGCACAAATTCTTTATAAAATTAAAACGTGATTTTTAAACACAATAACATTGAGGCCCAATACAAAACAATTAAAAATTTGTTAGATTTTTTTGATCTCATAACAGTTCACCAACTTCAAGCCCTTTAAAAGAAGTTTGTGCAAGGTTAGCTAAGTTTCATGGCAAACAATACTTTTGTTAACCTTCTACCATAATGCCGGAGAGCTTCATATAGTTGTAGCCATGAATTTTGATATTTCTTAGCTTCATAAGTTTTATCATTTTAATATATTTAAGAATAATATATGTCATAAAATTAACAAATTTTTTAAATGCTTTGCAAAATAGTTTAAAGTCAGATGTAATATACAAAGAAAATAAACTCTAAACCAGTTTTTCTTTCCACTGACAGACTTTTCTTAAAACCAGTAGAAATAAAAAAATATAATAAAAACAAAACCAATAGAAATAACACTTTAATGCAATAAATTTTTAGCAGTGTCATCTTAAACCTTATTTTATCTACATTACATTACTTTCTAGTTTACACTCCTAAGATCAATGAGACTATTGGCAGATTTTTTTTTTTTTTTTTAATTATCTTCGCTTCCAACAAGGTTGCAAGCAACCACTTATTAGTGTTGGAAGTTACTGGAAGAGAAAAGATGAAGATTGTAGAGCAAGATAACGATTGACAGACGACTTAAAATATTGCAAATTATATGAATCAGAAAAGCAAGATGAAGGAAGCGAATTCCAAAGAACTGATGTTCGAGGAAAAAAACTAGACGAATAAGAGTTTTTGGAGCACTTAGGAACAGTAACAGAAAAAGGATGAGACTTAATTGAATGACGAGTAACACGAGAATGAATTTTAGTAGATGGCACAAGAGACGCTAGCTCTTTAGAGCAGTGCCCATTATAGTATTTGTAGAAAAGAGAAAGAGAAGCAACATTACGACGATGTGACTATTGAACATGAGCCTGCTGCAAAGGTGAAATTAAAATCTTGGTAAAACCATACAAGGTGTTTGGATCCATTTTCCGTGGTGCTGGTGTTAGCATCTTTTGACAGAGATCACTACATATAAATGGTAAAAGTTCTGTATTCAAGCCAAAGTAAAGTCCAAAAAGATGTAAAAATGGATAGAATCAAAGCTGAAATCACTCTGAAAGCAGTTTTTGTTAATAAAGACCAACCACTAGGTCTTGATTTGTATATTTTACCAGACACCTGGTTAATATAACAGGATTTACATACCGCATAAACAAATTTGTGAATAAGAAATGATTTAAAACCTACAGGAAAGTGATCTTTACATGAAAAAAGTAAGACACCTTTAGCAAAACACCAATTTAACTGTAACCCGCATACAATGTCTCTTAATAATTGCGTGTAATCTTTACTTTGTTAGCTCAGATATTTTACTAATATAAGGAGTTTAAAATAGTGAGAGTTTGGTTAGGTCTTCAGACAGTAAAAGAACATCACAGTTAATTTTATAAATAAGAGTTGTGGATTTTTTATTTTATCCAAAATGGGTAAATATTAAGTTTAAGAGTTTTAAAAAAAATTTTAATATCGTTAATGAAGACCAAGAATAGTATTGTTAATTTTGAAAGTTCTATCATTTAAACAATTTATAAGACTTATTTTATATGAAAATGAAGTAAAGATGTAAAAGTTGGTGCATAATCCAGTGAAATGTTTTTTCATGAAAATATTAAACTGTTGATTTACATTGAGTTATGTCCAAAAAAATATTTTTTTGAGTTTGTTTCTTTTTTCACGGTAAAAGATATTAAAAAATGCTTTTTGTTGATGTAATCCAAAAATAAAAAAACTTTATTTTCTATGGAAAACACTGCAAAAATCTCCCTCAAAAAATCACAGATTTTTGGAACTTGTCTAAAAAAAAGAAGAGACCATAAGTAGAACAAGTACAAATGCTTTTGTGACAATAGTGTTCCATGTAAGGATAAACAAGTATTAACAGAAATAAAATCAACTTGGTTGCTTTCAACTTGGTTGCTTACTAACCATACTACCTGGGACGCATTGGGGATCAAACTCAGAACCTCTTATGAAGCAAGCACTCTACCACTACACCACTACAGCAAATACTTAATGCGTAGGTAAAAATCTCCATTTCATATGTAAAATGCTTACACCGTAATGCTGTTTGAATTTTACATATATATATATATATATATATATATATATATATATATATATATATATATATATATATATATATATATATATATATATATATATATATATATATATATATATATATATATATATATATATATATATATTTATATATATATATATATTGTTGTTTTGATTATTTGATAATAATCAACTCTTTTCGATTTGAGAGTGATCAATATAAAGTGAAATAATCGCAAAATAGATTAATAAATAAATGATTAGATAAGTAAAAAACCATAAAAAAGTTGTATGTATATATATATATATATATATATATATACATATATATATATATCCTTCCTACCATCTTACGCCAATTGTGTGTGTGTGTGTGTGTATGTATATATATATATATATATATATATATATATATATATATATATATATATATATACACACACACATATATATAGAGAGAAATAAGATACTAAAAAAGATACCCTTAGTAGGCCAACAGTAAGATCAAAACAGATTCCACATGTTCGCAATTGTCTTGTTTCAGGGAGTTGACTGTCCAATCGAGCAGTTGCCTGCTGTATCTGTTACACAATTAAAAAACTTTTACAAAATGAAAAAACATATATTCTATCAGTTTAAATATTTAGTTTTTTAAAAGTTTGTTACTAAATTTATTACTGAAAACTTAGAAATAAAATAGCATTTCTATCAATGCATTGCAACTTTACAAAAATTAAAAAAAGTCATACTTCTTGAAGAATACCAACAAATTCTGAAAAAGCCCAGTTAAGTTGGTTGAGAACACCATTAAGAAAATCATTGGATAGACTTTCATCTTCAAGACATAGATTTCGCATTAGTTTTTGATAGACTCTGGATGGACATGGCTCTTATAAGAAAATCAAAAAAAAGTTAAATCAAAAAAAGTTAAATCAAAAAAAGTTATATACTAGTTAAATCAAAAAAAGTTTAAAATAATGATAATAAAAAAATTGAACACATTAAAGAAAAACTTACTCTGTGTAAACGCTCTGATTGTGCCCGCTACAAAATGAAATGGTTAAAAAATATAATAAGTAAGATACATAGTAAGTACAGTAGCTTAAAAAAAAAAAAAAAATTAAAGCAACAACAAGAAAAAAAAAAGAAAAGAAAAAGAAGATAAAGATTAAAGACATTTATTGTAAATCAAACAAAACAACTGTACAAAAAAAAAAAAAAAAAAAAAAAAAAAAAGTCAAAAACCTCTTATCATGTAATGTTAAATGTTAAATCCATATTTAAATGTTATGGATTTAACATTTAACATGTAATGTTAAATGTTAAATTCATTTTAAATTACTTTGAAAATTACTTTAAGTGTGAAAGCAATTTTTAAAACAATCTGCCAATATTTAAGGCTCTGTTCCATCATCTCTTTCTCTTTTTTACTAACACAACTGTTTCTTTTCTCTTTAATAATATTCTCAGTCTTGTTGGTAGTGAATTAGTTTTAAAAAATAATTTCATTTGAATTATTGAAGAATGGATCCACATTAGTCAAAGAATAGGTAAAAATATGTCAAAAATTTTCAGAATAAGCCAACAAAAGGCTTTTTGATTTAAATGCTAAGAACAAAAGTCTTAATTTTTGTTTTAAAAAAAAATTATTCAGCCCAAAATTGGTACTTCTGAGAGTTCTTTCAAACTATTTAAATATATTTTCACAATAGAACATAATGCTCATAAGAAAGACAAAGAACTCAAACTCCACCACATAGATAGTAGCACTGAGTAATTTACATATTTCTCTATACAATGTTCAGTCAGGATTTGTGTCTAACTTTAAAGTACACAAAGAAAAATAAAGATTTAACAACTTTAAAAATAAAAATGCGTAAAAAACATTGCAGTACATTAAAAATTAAAGTTTGCAATGATATTTAACTTCTAGCCATCCAAAATGCATACAACAAAGTATTACACATAGATATTATTACAGCTAACTTAGTAAACATATATATATACATAAGTAAAACATATACAATGTATATACCTTGATCTGAAATACCAAATGGAATAAGATCAGGAGAAGTGGAATGGCGAAAACCAAAACCATCACCCTAAATTAAAAACACTTTATACTAAAAAAAAAATTACATTTTTAATAGAAATAAATTTTTTTCTACTCTTTGATTTAAAATATATATATATATATATATATATATATATATATATATATATATATATATATATATATATATCTTTTTTTATTTAAGAACTTTTTAATTTAACTTAAAAAAAAGCTGATAAAAAATATAAATTATAAATATATATAACAATATATATTTAAATAAAAATAAAACATAAATAATCAAACAAAAATAAAACAAACTATAAATATATAAAACAAAAAAAATTTAATCCTAGTAAAAAAAATAAATAAATAAAACTCACTCTCCAAAACCTGACCAATATCCATGTGGTATGGACCCAGGTTCTTTTATCATATGCCGACATAAGACATCTCATGAGCTTCTCTTGACTGGAATATGGAATATTTTCCATAGCAAACAATGTTTGGGGATAGCAAACAAATGTTGCAACACCCTGAATAATTGTGTCACAAACATCTGGGTTTACTAGACGATCATCACACAGTGAAGTAGCTAGAAAGCTAGCCATTTTTGATAATGTATCAGAAAATTCTAAAATAAATTTTTAATATAAATAAGAATTAATTCAGATAATTTTCTCTTCATGAAAATTATTTTAAATAATATTTTTGTGTACATATATATTATTAAAATTCAAAGTTATGCAATTATTTGAAAACATAAAACTTTAAAAACTACAAATAAAAACTTAAAGTTTTATGCATAAAATAAACCAGATGAAAAAGTAAACATTTTTTAAAACAAAACAATTGTTTTATATAAACAAATATGACTTGAAGAAAAACATTTTTAAAAAGCAACACAAAACCTAGTTAAAAGCAATTAAAAACAAAGGTCTACTTTGCAAAAGCATGAAAAACTATAATAACTATGTAAACCTCTAGTAAAGTGTTAGCTTAGCCATATGTTACTAAATGTATGTTTGTGTTCTGTCTGAACCTCTAGTGTGATGATAGCACAATAATTGTCCAGAAACTACAACCATATAACAGAATGTTCACCACCGTGGTTCAAAAAAAAAAATTTTGAAAAAATATCTGCAGCTCGCACATTAATGTGTTCTATATGATAAAACAACACTGGACTTGAAAGTTTTTTGATTAAAAAAATTTTTTATCGGTGTCTTGTTGAATGTATCTCTAATATTAATAAATTTTTTTTTTCTCTAAAAGTCTTGTTGAGTCTCAAATAAAAAGTATGTCTTGATGAGTCTCAAATAAAAATTATTATTAGTTTTAGGTTCAGTATTAGGTTATACTGACATCCTGTATTCGACAGGATGTCAGTATATACAGTATAAATACTAAATAAATTGTCTCTTATTCAATAATCCTATTATAAAATATTAACAACTAACTCACAAAGGATAAAACTCAAAGGTGTAAACAAATGTAGTTTGTATAAGTGACTGACTGAAAATGATATATTGCCAGAACTGGAACCAAAAAAAAAATTATTCATAATCACAGCCAGAATCAAAAAAAAAATATAAACCAGAATAGGAATGGCTATTGGAAGTTAATGATAAACAAAGTTAAAATTTTTTTTATATTATTTACATATAACAAGTCAGAGTTAGATGGAGTTCTAGTAACTCAAAACTATCATGTTTAGAATTACTAGAAAACATGGCCTACTTAAATTACACGGCCTGATTTGTTGCATTTTCCGTAAAAAATTAAGAGGCCAGTTTTTTTTACGGCTCAAATATAAAAACTTCATTTTTGTTATGGTTAAGAGTCTTGTTTGCACTATAATTGTTTTATTTTTATTTTATTAAAATGGTTTAATAATAGTTAGATTTTCTTTGAGTACTTACATTATTTTGTGCTGGATTTTCTGTTAACTGATTGCCTGCTTCAGTTTATTCCAACAACACAGAATACTGAAATAGGCTTTCAGATAACTATATCAACGCATACCAACATGCAACTAAAAATAATCTCTCATGTTGCTAAGATTGCCTAAAACTCTCTATTGAACAAAAAAAAGGTTTATAGTTTTGTATTTTTTATAATTGAAATTAAAAGAAGAAATTTTTGTTAGAAATGTTTATTTTGTCTTGGTCTTTTTTGGAATTCTTTTACTTGATCTTTTCTCAATGAATATGTAATTTTTTATTATAAAAAATATTATCAACAATACAAAATCTATATTTTTTTATATGATTCCCCACTTTTGATGGTTTTTATTTGTAAAATTAAAATTGTTAGATCGAATCTTTAAAATTTGTTTCACAAATTTTTAATTGAAAAAGAATGACTGCAATGTTTTATTAGAGAAATAACATAAAATGCTAAAAAGATGACAAATAAAATTAGACAGAGGTTGAATTGAATATATAGGTTCTTCTCTTTATAAAGTAACGTTTATTGATCATAAGTTTTACATTAAAATCTTTTTGTCAATTTTTACCATTATTACTTGCTTTAGTATATATATCTGTGCTATCTTCAGAAAGCTGACAGTAGTATTTATGTAGACAACTAAGAAATATCTTGCATAATATTTTTTAAGGATTATCATTCTGATAAATATTTTCTGGGAAAATCTGCCAAAATCTTTTTACTAATGCATATTTCTAAAAGACTCACAAAAAGTCTACTACTGGTCATTTAACTATACCTAATAAAACCTAGTTTTAAAGGATCACTTTGTAAATTGCAACTATAAATAAATGTAAAGCATTCTTCAAGGAAGTCATGTTTAAGAAATACAATTGCTTGTAGTGTTGTAATTAGAGCACAAGAAGTTTGTTTGGTTAACGTAAAGTATTTATCAAATTTTATTTTGATCAAATTTCAATACAATTTGCAATTTCTCTATAAAGTGTGGGTTTGCTATCACCTTTCAAAGCAGCACTGTTGAGTTTGATTGGATGAATTTAGTTTCTGCTTTGAATTAATTATGATAAATATTTTATAAAACAATGATGAAAATTGTGTTGCGTTATTTCTTTCAGAAAAATAACTCAAAATTACAGCTGCAGTTGTTTCATCAAATATTGTCAATGTTGACAACTTGTTCGTTGTTTCCAAAATATGTAACTTGATAATTAATTTTTATTGCTTTTTCTTGCCTGTTTAATAATTGATCTTTTAATAAACTTTAAGAAATATATTCCCTGTAATGTAATCAGCAGTAACTTCAACAAAAAGAAAAAAACAAAAACCGAAAATAACAAGTATGTTTTAAACATTCCTTTTCTAAACTAAATGATAAATTAATACTTTTCCATTTCCAGTATATACTTTATGAAACTACAAAAATGCATTAACATTTGTAGAATGGTTATCAGTAACAACAGCTCTTATCTTAAATTCAGATTGGTGCATTGAGGTAATACACTCATCAATTTCTTTTTTCAAACATAAACCAGTTATGTAAACTTTAGATGAGGATTTCAAAACATAAGAATAAGTTTTTGAAGCCCTACAATCATAAAAACAAAAAACTTCTTTAAAAACTTCTTTAAAAAGATTATTTTCTCAATCTTCATCAAATCGTTTACCATTTTGATAATAATCTGCTTTTTGGAAGTACATCTTACCCACAAGAAGCAAATAATCTCTTGATACTAAATTTTTGTCAATGATTTTTCTAATATATTATAGTTTTTCAATTTGTAATTTTCACTACTGCGAAACCATTTAAATAAAGAAATATGATAAGCATTTATTTGGCAATGAAAAAAATTAGAAATTTATTAACAGCTATTGACTCCAAAACAGTTGGTATGCCTGAAATTTCATGCCTACTGTAAATAAATGGCTTGATTTGTTGCATTTTAATTACTGTATGTTTGAGACATGCAGCATAATAAAGTATTTACATTGGAAAACCTTGTTTTGCAGTGTAAATATTTTAAAGAAAAGTTCATGTTTTCTACTTAATAATTGCAATTTTATTAAATACAAAATTACAAACCTTTAAAATTATATCCAATGGAGAATTGTAAGTAGTTTTAGCAATATGTAAGATTATTTTTAGTAGTATGTGAGTATGTGTTGATAAAGCTATCTGAAAGTCTATTTCAGTATTCTTTGTTATTGGAATAAACTGAAGCAGGCAATCAGTTAACAAAAAATCTAGCACAAAATAATGTAAGTTCTAAAAGAAAATCTACTATTATTAAACCATTTGAATAAAATAAAGATAAAACAATTATAGTGTAAACAAGACTCTTAACCATAAAAAAAATGAAGTTTTTATACTTGAGTCGTAAAAAAACTGGCCTCTTAACTTTTTACGGAAAATGCAACAAATCAGGCCATGTAATTTAAGTAGTAATTTAAGTAAGTAAGGCTGTGTAGAAAATATAGAAAATGATGAATAGAGTTAAAGAGCATAGAAACAACAGAAGACCTTAAAAGACAGAAGACTTAAAAAGTTGTAGGTTGTATAAGTTAGAAAAAAATAAAGATGGGAGAGAGTTCCAAAGGGTTTATGTGCGGAAGAAAAACTAGACGAATAAAAGTTTTTAGAGCATACAGGGGCAGATACAGTAAAAGAATGAGTCTTTGCTGACCAAGTTTTTTTGACCAGTCAAAAAAGAATGTCAGCTCCTTTGAGCAGTGACCATGATAGTACTTACAGAAAAAAGAAAGAGATGTAACTTTGCAATGATGGGATATACCCTGTATTTCATACAAGGAGAAACAAGAAATTTTTGTAGAGATAGAGAATGAAATCAGTAAGAAAATGGCAAGCACGATAAAAAGAAGCAACTTTAACAGATGTTAATTTAGCATTCTATTATATATATGGTTTCCATGAGAGGTCATGAATGATGATCCAAAAAGGCGTAAAGAAGAAGACTTGGTGAGAGGGCTACCATTCATTAATATAGGAATATTGACAGTATTGCAATAGTTGATTGTTGTTGTATTTGAGATTGAGAGTTGTAATAATTTAAACAAAACATTAATTTAATAAAAATAACAAAATCAACAACTGGAAGAGTTTCTTGAAAAAAAAAAAAGGTTTTCCAAATTTTCTGGAAAGATTCTGTTTCTTTCCTTTCGAAAGAATATCTCCAGCTGTAGAAAACAGTCTTCTGGATATTGGAAGTGGCGTGAGGAATTTTTTCTTGCCACCTTAGTCAATGCAAATTTTATTTTAGAATTTATATTTTCTCCATAGCTTTTTCAAAACTCAAGGCATTGAGAAACCATTAGACAGGCCAAAAATTCACTTAACATTTGTTCTAGCATTTTGGAAGATAAACATTTAGTTTTATATCAGTTTCAGAGATAAATAACAACTTACACAATTATTTTTGACATTTTGTGAATTTTTATTTTTATTTTTTCTAGATAGAATTTGAGTTCCAAGTGTCAATTTGTCTTCAGCAGGTTCAAAAACATCCATTTAGGACATGATAACATGTTTAACATTTTTCAAAGCAGCTTGAGATATGAAAAAATACCAACTTTAACTTGGATTGTGGCAACTAAATATTCTGTAAATAATGTTTTTTCAATTGCTGAAAAACTTTTTTTCATTGCACATTTTATAGCAATTGTCCTAAACACTGCCATCACTCATCGTACATGTTTCTAAATTATTCAGTTAATAAATGTGCATTTTTCTATGTAAGAAAAAGTACATTTTAACACTTAAAAAAAAAGAAAATTCTAGTTTCTTTTTCTAAATTTCAAGTTTGTTTTTTTATAAAATTATTTGTTCAAGGTATTATAAATACCTTGGTATAAATACCAAGGTATTATAAATACCTATAAAATTCTAGTTTTCTTTTCTAAATTTTAAGTTTGTTTTTTTATAAAATTATTTGTTCAAGGTATTATTAATAAAAAAAAATTATTGTTTTATCTATTTAACAAGTTATACTAAAAGATGTAACAATTAACACTAAAGATGTAACAAGTAACACTAAAGATGTAAAAAGTAATATTCAATATGTAACAAGTAATAATAAAGATGTAACAATTAATACAAATCCCAATTATTACTTTCAAGGAATACGGTACCCCTAATGTAAAGTTAAATAAATATAAAATAACTTTCTGAATAAAAAAATAAGTTACCTTCACTATAATAAAAGACATTTACAGTTAACGGAAGAAAATAATTCCAAAGAGCTTGAAACAGATATATACCATTCTCCATATAAAACTCAGGCATGAAGACATATAATTTACCAGAACTTTGCGCCATTTCAATTGTATGAAGAACAACTTTTAAAAGCCAATGAAGATCTTCTTGTTTTTCCTTAAATTAAAAAAATAACTTGAAACCTAAAAACCTAATAGTAAAAAAAAATTAAAATAAAAAATAATAAATCCTTACTTCAGAAAATATTACAGATTTGACCCATCCCATGTGTCTTGCAACCTCAGTTGCCTCATTAGTAAAGACTTTCTTTGCACGCTCTAGCTCATGCATCACATCAGATCTCTAAAAAAAAGTTCTTAATTAAAAAAAAACAACTTAATAATTATTTTAATTCTATTATTATGTAAATAATTATACAATATAAATATTTTAATTTTAAATTGTTTAAAATATGGGATTGCTGTTGAAATTTTATTAGCTCGATTAACTAATTTGTGTAAAGTTATAAGTACTATACTGTCTATAATAGTATGTAAACCATGTTCTAATGAAACTGTTTTATTAAATTTAAGCATTAAAGCTTAACTTAAAGTTGTCATATAATCAATAATAAAATCATAATATTGAAGTTATCAGATCATTTTAATATTGAAGTTAACAGATCATCCTAATATTAAAGTTATCAAATCGCCGTAATGTTAAAGTTATCATCCTATTGTTGAAATTATTAGATCATAATATTGAAATTATCAGATCATTTTAATATTGAAGTTAACAGATCGCCGTAAAGTTATCATCCTATTGTTGAAATTATTAGATCATAATATTGAAATTATCAGATCATCCTAATATTAAAGTTATCAGATCGCCGTAAAGTTATCATCCTATTGTTGAAATTATCAGATCATAATATTGAAGTTAACAGATCATCCTAATATTAAAGTTATCAAATCGCCGTAATGTTAAAGTTATCATCCTATTGTTGAAATTATTAGATCATAATATTGAAGTTATCAGATCATCCTACAGGTAGGTACACATTAAAAACTACAAAAAAAAGTGTTACCCTATAACTGAATATTGGAAACTTCTGAAGTGCTGAAACTTTCTATACTTAAAAACTACTTTAAATGAATGTCTTCCCTGGCCTTATTTTTTAATCTATAGTTTTTAGTAAAGTTTTTTGATTAAAAGAAAAGTCGCCTTTTTTGATTGTTAACCCTTAAATACCGCAATCAGGTTTTTTGCTTATAATTTTAGAGCCGTTGATCAGGTTCCCTCAAAATTTTGTAAACATTTTGTTTTCGGGCCACAGTATTGGCTATTAATTAAAATTTGTAGATAATTTAACATATAGGGCACTCAGAAATTATATTTTTATTAGTGAGAAAAAACCTTTTGTTGTTGGAAAATCAAATTCAAAAGCAGAGGCATAAGTCCAGAGGAAAAAAATAAATATGAAAGAACTTCAGATTCAACAAGCCGTGTCTTGGTGCATAGAGCACAAAAAAAGAGGCTATGCTGCTTTGCAAACTGGTACGTTTTCTTTTATCAAAGATTGAGGAACCATTGATCGGAGATTAGATGGAAAAACTGCTATAATAAACTAAAACTAATATAAAAAAGTAACATCTGGGAATTTTGACAGCAGAAAAAGAATACTTGATTGTAGAATTCATAAAAAATAAAAACAGGTGTCATCAAGGAATATAGAGGAAGCAAGTCACTAATCTAATTATTGATGTTTTAAAAATTAGAGACTATTGCAACACCACAAATCAAGGCGGTCGCAATTTTGGTAAACTATCTGATAATGCAAAACATGTTGTAAAGACAGGAAAGTAAGTAGAGTGTTTAGTTACTAAATAAATTATAATGAAAGTTTCTTTATGTAATATATTAAACTAGTTATTTGTTTTTAACACTATTCCATATAATTCTAACATAACTATATTATAAACACAAGTTTTAAATTTATTATAGGCTTGGTCAGTCGTTTTGGCAGAGATGGGAAGCAGAGCACCATAGCTTAGTTCTAAAACGGCAAGGAAATGTACCTATTAACAGGGCATTGAGTCACATTTAGGTAAGAAAATAATTAATAATATTGTATATTTTTGTACTTTATTAGCTGATATGCTCCATAATTAAAACAATGATACATAAATGTCTTAGATTAGCCTTAGGGTGCAGTGTACTAGCAAAAATATTTTGAATTTATCTTTTAGATTCGTTGGCTGATGAACTCATTAAATGTGAGATTTTCACAAACTCAAAAAAACTTGAACCTGGTGTGTGGAAGGGTGATATTGATACAAAAAGAATTTTTAATTTTGACGAAACACCCCAGTTGATAAACTATGGGGTTGATGGAAAAAATTCCAGGCTTGCGTATGTTGCACGTGGGGAGCCTTGCAGAAAAATGATTAGGGAGAATCGTGAACCAATAACAATATACCCAGTTGTTTCATTAGCAGGTAATAATAACACAAACTATTTATGTAAATGTACCTATGCAATAATTTGCACTTATCTGAAAAAAAAAACCAATCATGTTTTCATCACTGAAGAAGTATTAGTTAATCGTTTTAGTGTTTGTTTTTAGTGAATGTTTTTATCCCCATGTTTATGCTAAGTATAGGTTTAATCATAAGTAATATTTTTTTATTTTACATTTTAGGCGAAATTGTTGTTTCACAAGTTATTTTTGCTGGTAAAGGTATCACAAATCATATGGCCCCAAAAACAGCTGTCAAAAATATAAAAAATTTAATTATATCATCTACTGAAAAAGGAAGCCAGGATAACCATTCTTTATTGGACCTACACAAAAAGTTTGATATATATTTGTCAGAAGAAAATACACAATGACCTGTTGTAATGCTAGCAGATGGACACAGTTCAAGACTTGACTACAATGTTCTACATTTCCTCCATGAAAAAAAAATTAACTTATTTATAAGTCCTCCTGATACAACTGGGGGGTTACTCAACTGTTGGATCAAAGTCCTAATCAAAACATGCATCGTCAATATGACAAAAAAAGAGATGAACTTTTTACAGCTTTCCAAACAATAAACCGAGAAGGCTTCATAACAATTTTAGGAGAAATGTGGGATAAATGGGCTTCAAGGGATACCATAATTAATGCTGCAAAAAGAGTTGGCATATCTAAAGAAGGTTTAAATGTAAATAATATGCAGCAAGATAAATTTCAACAGGCTGCAAACTGTATGGTTCAAAATGAAGAACAAGAGCCTTGTTCTAAGTGCACCAAAGAAAATATGCACACGTTCATCAGCAAATGTTTTGTTAACACCAATTACTCCACATTCATTTCCCGAATTAGCAAAAACAAATCATCATTATAGATCAGCTAATTATTGGAAATTTATGTTCGAGCAGTCGCAGATGATTATCAGAAAGTTATGAAAAAAGTTTAATTTTAGAAGATATACCAGGTCTGCTTACAGTTAACAAGGTAAAGCCAAAAGACATGAATAAAACAAAAAATATACGTGTCACAAACATACATGGGTCAATGGAAGCCCAAAACATCATTGAACAGGTTGAGTTGTTTGAAATTAGAAAAGGAAAAAATAAGATCAAAAGGAAAAAAAAAAGCAAGAAAAAGATAAAGAAAAAGAACAATTTTATAAATGTAAATTAAAATGTGTTTGCAATGGCATTTGTGAAGTAAAGAGTTTTAAAGAGTGCCCAGTCTGCCACGAGATAAAGAAATCAGCATGCAGCAAAATTTCTAGTCGAGTTGATGGAATGAAGCCAATAATGATTAAACTAGCCACATCAAACAAAATGAAAAATGCTAAATATGAAGGCCATTTAAATGACGTAGAAAGCGATAACATTAATTGGGGAAATGTTTTATGTTGATTTGAAATGCAACTTATTGATTCTGGAAAGAAATTTTGACTTTGTGTCTCAATGTTTGTATTACTCTTTGTACCCCTTAAAAACTACAAGCGTCTCTACTGCTAATAAAAAGCTCATTTTATCAATCAGAGAAGGATATTGTGAAAACTTTTTTTATTTTTATTTGTAGCAACAATATAGTTATCTAAAAAAAAAGAAATTGCAATCTTATTTTTAAATTGGTGCTTACCTATGCCGAAAACTGTGTTTTTTTAGTTTAAAATTAATTTATTTTTTATTTTTAAATTGCTTTTTTCGCTATATTATTAATAAGAAAATAGCCAAACTTTTATTTTTTTGTAGAGAGTATTTATATGGAGTCTCAAAACAAATAATATTATGCGCTAAAGCTCATACAGTGCTCGACAAGAACATTAATTATGACTTTGTAGTTTTTAAGGTGTTTGTGTTTTTAAGGTGTACCTACCTGTATTATCAAAAAGTAAAAAAATAAAAAAATAAAAAAAAATAACTTTCTGTATGTCAAAGATTTAACATCTTAAAAAAAATTCTGCAAAAAAAAAGTAAAAAAGAAGGAAATAAAGTAAAACTAAATAAAGATAAAAAATAAAAACTAAAACTAAATAAAACTATTCTTATTGTTACCACCAGATTTAGATTTACTCTTTTCTTTATACTTTCATTTACTAACTTAAAATTTAGTATATACTTTCAATGTCCTTATAATATATGACATCTTTTTTTTTTAAGCAGCCTATCAAAATAATAGGTAATGTAACCAAAGAATTCTTTCTTTCTTTTTGATATAACTATGATGATATCTTTTTGATATAACTATGATGATATCTTTTTGATATAACTATGATGTAAAAAGGCAGATTTATCATTTAATTTTATTAAACTTTATTGCTGCAAATTTTAAATTTTTTTTCTCTAAAGTAACAATAGATCTTAATGACAAAAAAATTAAAAATGTTATTTCATTAAATAAAATCTATTAAATACCAGATTATTAAATATTAAAATTAAATACCAGATTATTAAATATTAAAATTAAATACCAGATTATTAAATATTAAAATTAAACACCAGATTATTAAATATTAAAATTAACTACCAGATTATTAAATATTAAAATTAAATACCAGATTATTAAATATTAGAGGATAACTTACATCTGGAGGACATTTGTCAATTTTTTTGTAAGTATCATTAAGAGCTTTTGAATGTTCTCTCATTGTTTCTGTAACACCATGAACCTATGTCAAACAAAAAATATACAAAACCTTTTGATTTACAAAATGCACTATATATATATATATATATATATATATATATATATATATATATATATATATATATATATATATATATATATATATATATATATATATATTTATTCATATACACAAACACACATATACACACACCCAATGATTTCAGAAGAAAAAAATGCATTAAAATCTCATTGCTTGAAGCTTATATATGTCTTGAAATGAAATATAGACTGTTTGATGAAGTATAAGACTATTTTTGGGCTCTGCGGTCTCTTTAGGCTTCTAGATCCCGCATGACATTGGATGCAACCAGTTGTTTTAAATACTTTTTAAATCTATTACTTGCCACTTTGTTACTTTTCCTAGCACTTTTCACCCCATTTCTGTGTGACAACATCAGTGTGCATAGTAATTTTGCAACAAATATATAAACAGTACTACTGATGATTTTTTGAAAGTGAAAATAAATTTACTAAAATTAAAACTTTAATTTTTTTATTTGTGTATTTTTTGAAATTGTGTTTTAAATAACAGATTTTGAGACAATAAGCAGGATGAATAAAAAAAAAATTGCTATATATATATATGCTTAGTTAGGAAGGTGTGCAATTTCAAGTCTTCATATGACCACACATGTTTTGACGATTTGACGAAAAATTAGTTTAATAATAATTACAGATAATTACGCTGAAAATAAATAACTTCTATACCTCTATCTTTATTAGCATTTTTAAATTAAACATTTAAACAAAAATTAAAACATAAGAATCATTAAATTTAATCATTTAAAACATAAGAATTAAAAAATTAATTAACTCGAAAAGTAGAAAGATTTTGTTGAGAAGAAAAAAAAGACAAACTTTTTTGAAAGCCCTTTGAATTAAATAACTTTGATCTTTACTTATGGTTTTACATTATTGCAACGCATTTAAATAAAGTAACAAATAGCTGATAATAATTTTTTAAAAAAATATTTATGAAAAATACATATTTTTATATTTATATAAGTATTTATTTTTTTTATGTCTTTTAGCATCTTTACTTTTAATTTTTAAATGCGCATTTATTTAACAATTTTTAAATGTAAATTGTTACTTTATTTAAAATGTGTTTCGTCTAATATTACATTATAAAAACATTAGCAAAGATAAACGAATTAAAGTTATTTATTCTAAATAATTTTATTGTTATACTTTACTATTTATTTTAGTAAAGTTTTAACTTTATTTTCTAAGTTAAGTTTTAGTTATCTTTTGTTATTTTTTTTTAAAAAGATTTATTTGCTTCATTATGATTGGGTTTTTTTAAGTTCCTTCATTGATAAAAAAATAAACATTTTCAGCGTATTTTTAAAATGTATATAAATTTTCAAAACATATTAACAGCCATGGTCAAGTTTTAAAATCAAATCATATTTGCATGGTCATATTATGACAGGAAATAATATGACCATGCATTATCCACAACGCAGAACAACAATTCAAATGAGTATTTAATTTGAAACCACTATCAAACAGATAGAAAATTGCACACACTAACACACTCACATGTATGTGATTATCCATCCATTTGATAGTGCAATCAAAAACTAAAACATTATTTAAACTGTTATTCTCCATTTTATATGTTGATCTCCATTGTAGATAATGCTTTTTAAGTAATATAATATATTTTAGATAATCTTCTTTATAATATATTTAGATAATCTTCCTTAAAAGTTTTTAAAAATTGTTTTCACCTTACTAAGTTGCCTGTGCACAGCTGTATTATACATCAAACAAATGCTATCAAGTATGTCAATTAATGTTTTATCAAATGTGGTGCTATTCATATCAACATCTGTTATTGATGAGCTACTGCCAATATTCATTCCATATCGAGTTGATGAAGTTGATGTGCGAGCTTGTTTGAGGTCATCTGAAAAAGAAAATTAAAATGTATATTGTTATTGTAATGTATAATGTAAATTGTTATATTTGTATCAAAATTTTCACAATTTGACTAACATATTACAAAATGGGGTTGCATTATAATAATAATAATGATTTTACATAATATTAATTACATAATGGGGTTACATAATAATGATTACATAACATGGTTACAATAATAATTATATAATGGGGTTACATAATAATAATTACATAATGGGGTTTCATAATTCTAATTACATAGCAACAACATAATAATAATAAAACATTGAATACAAAGCTTTGATCACAAAATATTATTAACAATATAAAAGTCCCATAGCACTAAAATGTTTAACTTATAAATTCTTATAAAAAATTTTAAATTTGAGATGTATATAATGTGTTTTCAAATTCATTGAAAACAAGGTTTTTTTCTTCAGTAAAATGTTAATTTTGGAAATAATTGTAACAGAAGTTATAAAGTTTCGTAAGAGTATCTGCTCCTGTTTTATCACTTTATCTTTACTATTATTATTAAATTTTACACTAGAGTAAAGGATTTTTTTCAATTCAAGAGAGTTGTTTCAATTTAGAAACAACCCTCCTGAATTGTATACTAAATTTTAAACAACGTTTGAATTATATACTATTTTTTAAGTTAGTAGAGGCAAGTATAAAAAAAAATAAGGGTATTTTTCTACTTTTTTTAATATATTGTGGTTACAACCCTTTTTAAATCGTATTCATGACTCGAATTAAGTGAATTGCGATTGCTTTTCACACCTTCACAATTAGTTTTTTATTAAAATATATATTATCGCAATTTTTTTTTTTTGGTTGTTTATTTACTTTTTTTCTGATTGAGATTTTTTTTTAGCAATTCTTAAAAGTAAAGTTTTTGCATTAAAGTAAATCATGCTAAATTTATTTATTAAATTTTCTTTTTCGCTCAAATATTTTCTTTCAACTTTTTTTCAAATAATTTCATTCAACACTTTTGAATTTAAATTACTTTAAATCTCTGCATGGAAGCCAATAATATTTTAAAAAGTCGTTTATACCAAATAATAAAAAGGGGAAAGTCTTTTCTTAGTTTTTTAAACGTTGCACCAAATTCAAATATTAATTAATTCAAGTTATTATTTTATCAATAATTTTATATAATTAATTTTACTACTTTAAGTATAATAAAATATATATTATTTTGTTTTTATTTTAAAAAATTTCTATTATTTAATCAATGCTAATAGAACCAGCAACTTTTTTGCTTTAACATTTTTTGCTTTAATGAACTTGAACCTTTTAAGGTTATATTTACTTGGATTTACTAAATGGATAAAGTTTAGCACATTAACTTTACTTATAAACTAAATTAAAACAACCTGCAACTGTAAGTTACTACAACAACTTACAGTGTACAATTCTTAAACTTAATAAAATATAATTTAATTTATTAAATCAAACTTTTTTGTTTCACTTTTTATTGGAAAAAATTTTAATAAAAAAATCAAATGAAAACAATAATTTTAAAAACCATTTGAATGCAGGTCCGTCTTTGGGGCTGCCTATTAAGGACATCACGCATCTAGGGGAGGGAGGGGTCCAGACTTTTGTGAGGATCTGTGACAAGGGGGAGGGAAGCGGTTTAAGAAAAGCAAGGTCACCAGTAATATTTTATATATTAAAATATTTTCTTATATTAAAAACTATAAAATATTTTATATGATAAAAATTTTTCTTATATTAAAAACAAACTTAACGCATGGTAGCCATCTGAACAAGAGAGGTGTAATAACTCATGACAATGCAGGAACCACTCTTGCTTGTAGAGTTTGATTGTAGATAATTTTCCATTAAAGACAGAGTACATTGAGCACACAGAGATTGAGTTACAAGAACAACTCTTCTTGTCAAGGGATCTGAAATGTCACATACAAATGAGCAATCTCTTATTCAGATTGTAAAATGAAATGACAACAAGTGCTGTTTGAAACCAAGAATTTCAGTGTGATAGTAGATCAAAACTTTTGTGACGCCTAGTGACAAGGGGGAGTGAGGGGGTTGAAAATTGCAATAAATTGCATGATGTCGTTTATGGACGGCCCTTTTACACATGTCCAACCTAGGCAGCCGCTGCAGGGCCAAAACATTTATAGAGGCCAACCGGAAAGGAATCAATTTTTTTTATTTTACATACTTCAGTTTTAAAAACTGAAGTTTGTAAAATAAAAACTCTAAACAGAATATATATCAGCAGGGGACGGCCAATTTTATCTGACGAACAAATACATAAAGGTTCAACAAAGTAAACAAACCACTTCAAGTAGTTGAAGTTGAATCGATAGTGGAATGAGCTGTATTGCTCTCTGTCTAATCTTTAATCAAGTTTGTCAAATTTGAAAAGAATTTATGTTATTGGTGGGCACCAACAAATACTTTGCTGCTGTGACAAGACTAAAAATCTTTATTCATCCAAATCATTTCCCTGGATCCATCACTGCTCTGCTGAGCTTGCAAACGTCTACAAGGTGAATCGATGTCTATTAAGGTATCAGACTTCACTGCGGGAAAAAAAACGATTGTTAACCTTATCATCAATCGACTTTTATTTGAGCTTGAAAGACAAAGTCAAGTTTATGCTTTACTTTTCTCTAGTTCTGGATTCTTTGTTCCTTTTATCTAGATATGGATTCTGTCACACTCACATGGATATATTTCTGGTTATTTGAACTAAGAAATTTCAATTAATTCAATAATGTCAATCTTATTCTGAGGATATTTCTGCTGTTGTTACAAATTGTACTGGAAAAAGTTCCTTTTCAAACTTTAAAAAGAGCAAAGAATTGCTACAGGTTTAATAGCGGACAAAAAAAGCTTATCGTTTCTATTAAGCATGTCATGAAAAAAAAAAGGTGCTGAAAAACATATTTTTTTTGGTACAGGGGAGGGGGGTTGAGAGTTTGTAGAGGCCACAACTATTATTTCGCTGTGAGGCCAGGATGACCCAAAGACAGGCTAGTTTGAATGAAAAACTTTTATTATATATTAATTTATAAAAATTGTGGTCTCTAATGTTTTTTTGCTTTGATCTTACTCATTTTATCTATAGATTATAGACTCGTATAGTTTATAGGCATGTTTTTGCTCAAATATTAAGTTTTATGACAATTATCTTTTAATTTATTAATTAGAATAATTTTATTTATTTGCTTCATTATAACAGTAACTTAAGCTATTTTAAATTCCGTCAAAAAAGAAAATTTTAAGATAATATTTTAATATGAGAGATAATATATTAAAAAATAACAATTGCATACAAAAGATACAATTTTATACTAACACGACCCCCTCTCCCTCCCTCATTATTGCAAAGCAGCGCGGAGAATGAGGAGGAGGAGGGGGGGCAAAATATTTATTATTTTCTTTTTTGCAATTAGATTTTTTAGTGTTAATACGAGCCCTGCTATTCATATTTTTTAACCCTTTTTTTACATTCAGTATAAAATAGTTAATATAAAAATATATAAAATGTTACCTCGATGAGCTTTCTTTAAATGTGAGATTATACCACCAACTCTAAAAAACCGGAAAAAAATGAAAACAAAAAAGTCAACTGTTTTAAGCGTCAAAAACAAAATACTTCAAATAATTTTAATGTTGTTGAGTTACTTATAGGGCTATGGTTATAAATTCATAATATTAAAAGTTATTAAACATATAACATTTAAAAAAATGCTAACAAATGTAAAGTTCTATGCAGTTAAAAATAAAGAAAAAAAAGGAAATGCAAATTTCAGTGGTCAATTTATAAATAGATAATATAGATCGTGTAAAATAAAAAAAATTTAAAAAAATGATATATGCAAAAGTAGTATCTATGAATGAAAGAGATCTATCACTAGAAAAAAAGTTCTTGATTTTTCATATTTTTGTAAAACCTGAAACCCACAATTTATGCAAAAAAACATTACTCTGTCAACATAAACCTAAATGTAGTATAGTATAGTGTTGTTCACTTAAATAATAAAGTACAAAACTCTTATATGCAAGAGTTATATAGCCAATCATCATATATATTTAAGCAAGGAGCCCAAGTTAAACTGTCAATAAATTTGCATCTTATTATTTTTATTAATTTTGAATTTTATGTTAAGATTTAACATTTATGATAGCTTCTTTTATAAATAGTTTCATTTATAATATTTTCAAAAAAATCCTCATTCCAAAGAAATAGGTTGTTAAAGAAACTATACTTTCTGAACTGCATGGAGAGCAAATTGCTAAAAAACTCCAGTCTTCATTAACATCTCTTTATGTAAAGTTTACAATATGGAGGTATATAATGCAGATCTTAATATGAAGTATTAAATCTTAATATGAGTTAATAAACAACCTCATTCCTGTAAAGATTATAAACATTATGATGACCATTATATACCATTAAATAATATTTTAGAAAAAAATTTTCACAAAAGAAAAGTTGATTAAGGCTTGCACAAGATTTCAAATTTAAACTGAATCTATTATTGCAGTAAACTTTTATTTATATTATATTTATTTCAAAATACTAATCAAACCTCGCTAGATCAAAATAATTAATTGAATCCTCATAAAAGACATTGTGTGGAATGTAGAAATCTTAAAAACAAAATAATTTAAATAGTTATGATAAATATGTTTATTAAATAAAAAATTAAAATATAAATTGAAAATTGTAATGCTGTGCCTACATTATTAGCTTACCATCTACTTTAATAGCTTCAGGAGTTTCTTTAACCCAAACTTCCCAATGAAACTTGAATGCTTTTATAAGTCTGTGGAGAAAGCAAGTCATTACTGGACCAGAACAAGCTTGAACAGGCTGAAGCTAGAGAGTCATATAGCAAAATATATTGAATTAAAATTTATTTATAAAGTTTTCAAACATTAATATCTATTATAGATGTTTAATTACAAACTTTTACAAAAATTCTTACTAAGCCCATCATTTTGAAAAAGGCACCAGTCACACCTTATTTCAATACTTTTTTTGTACAATTTTATTTCTTGAAGCATGATTTTACAATAAATAAACTCAAAAATAAAATTATAAATATTAATGTTTCAATAAAAATAAAAATCTAAATATATTAAAAATATAATTTGATCAAATGCAACATTCTTTTAAACAATTTTTCTAGAAAACGCTACAATGCTTAAATAAATATGAGAAAAAAAAACGTTGCTGATAATTGTTTTCTTATGATATGATACAAAACATTAAAACTAAAAAAACTAATACTAAAACACAATCAATTTTATTTTAACAATGAGCTTTTTAATTTAAATATCAAAAAATCTCACAAAAATGATTATTGCCTGAATTGCCTGCCAAGTTCATTTTAGATTTTACAATTTACCACTCATGCCCTCATTTACTCCTGCCAAGGCCTGAATATGGCTTATTAGCCATATTCAGGCTATTTATTAATGGTAAATGCCACATCAGTCAACAAGTTTAAAGTAAATTTAGAACAATTTAAAATAATTATCATTATCACATTTAAATTTTTTTTTTTTTTTTTTTTTCAGTTGATTAAGGTGCCTCAAGAAGTCCTTACGGTCTTATCACAGAGCAACGCGGAATAGTATTTAATAGGAAGTTCACACCTCCTTGCAACCGTTGTCGCAAAACTTGCCCAGAGGTGGGGTTTGAACCACGGATCTTACGTTTCTGAGGCAAGTGCGCTACCACTGCGCCACGGCTACTTTAATTAACTTCAGTAGCAGAGGTTGCACAATTAAATGTTCTATTGATATTCAAAGACATTCTTTGAGGCAGAAAATCACAGGATAAGGCAGAAAATCACATTTTAAATTGTTAAATTCATTTAACAATTTAAAAATTAAAGGAGATAAGTCATACTTATCAACATCAAGGATTCTTATTTCATTAAAATTTTGAGAAACGCGAGAACCAATTAATAATTAACTGCAGAATAATTAAACCAAAGATTTTGTAACTTGCTTTTATCTGTGCTTGCCCAGGTAATAACTCAATAATTTATATAACTATGAATAAAAGAGTAATTAAGTTTAGTTTTTTAATCTAAATAAGCGCTTTACATAAAAAAAATTTGAAACTTTTGAGCAGACATATTCAATATAGTGCTTTGAGGTGATCAATAAAAATTTTAAATAAATTTGAGGGAAGAAAGCATTTTTTGGAGAGCAGGTGGAAAAAAATTTTATTTTACTTATATTTAATATTAACTTGTTGCATTTAAACCATTTATATACGTATTAAAACTAACATGTCGAGACAAGTTGTGCTCATATTAAAGAGAATGTTATTAAAAAAT